TGTTCCAAAGATCTAGGTTGTCGTGGCCGAGTGGTTAAGGCGATGGACTAGAAATCCATTGGGGTCTCCCCGCGCAGGTTCGAATCCTGCCGACAACGATACATGCTTTTGAGCAACGGGAACTCACCAATAAAATATTTGTATACTTATCTGCAGAGATATTTCACGTGCAACAGAGAACATTATCAGTTTGAAACTCCCCAAAAGCACGGTCTGAGAAACGGAAGTGCTGACTCTAAATCTGACCGTTTTACATTTTCACCGTAAACTTCTCTGGTTTGGGTTGAAAGTCATGGTCAGATGAAGCAAACAGAACCAAATTATTTGGAGGGACTGAAGAAACCAACCTGAGCTCCCCACTCCGGACACTCTTTGCAAGGCAATGTCTTGTTGAGCATGATTTGGAGCACCTATCGGTAGGCCAAACAATAAAGGTTTGCTCCCTTGATAGTTCAGTTGGTAGAATGAAGGACTGTATGAAAGCCTGAAATCCGCATTTGTTCCAAAGATCTAGGTTGTCGTGGGCGAGTGGTTAAGGCGATGGACTAGAAATCCATTGAGGTCTCCCCGCGCAGGTTCGAATCCTGCCGACAACGATATATGCTTTTGAGGAACGGGAACTCACCAATAAAACATTTGTATACTTAGCTGCAGAGATATTTCACGTCCAACAGAAGAACATTATCAGTTTGAAACTCCCCACAAGCACGGTCTGCGAAACGGAAGTGCTGACTCTAAATCTGACCGTTTTACATTTTCACCGTAAACTTCTCTGGTTTGGGTTGAAAGTCACGGTCAGATGAAGCAAACAGAACCAAATTATTTGGAGGGACTGAAGAACCAACCTGAGCTCCCCACTCCGGACACTCTTTGCAAGGCAATGTCTTGTTGAGCATGATTTTCAGCACCTATCGGTAGGCCTAAACAATAAAGGTTTGCTCCCTTGATAGTTCAGTTGGGAGAATGAAGGACTGTATGAAAGCGCGAAATCCGCATTTGTTCCAAAGATCTAGGTTGTCGTGGCCGAGTGGTTAAGGCGATGGACTAGAAATCCATTGGGGTCTCCCCGCGCAGGTTCGAATCCTGCCGACAACGATACATGCTTTTGAGCAACGGGAACTCACCAATAAAATATTTGTATACTTAGCTGCAGAGATATTTCACGTGCAACAGAGAACATTATCAGTTTGAAACTCCCCAAAAGCACGGTCTGAGAAACGGAAGTGCTGACTCTAAATCTGGTCGTTTTACATTTTCACCGTAAACTTCTCTGGTTTGGGTTGAAAGTCACGGTCAGATGAAGCAAACAGAACCAAATTATTTGGAGGGACTGAAGAAACCAACCTGAGCTCCCCACTCCGGACACTCTTTGCAAGGCAATGTCTTGTTGAGCATGATTTTCAGCACCTATCGGTAGGCCAAACAATAAAGGTTTGCTCCCTTGATAGTTCAGTTGGTAGAATGAAGGACTGTATGAAAGGCGAAATCCGCATTTGTTCCAAAGATCTAGGTTGTCGTGGCCGAGTGGTTAAGGCGATGGACTTGAAATCCATTGGGGTCTCCCCGCGAAGGTTCGAATCCTGACGACAACGATACATGCTTTGAGCAACAGGAACTCACCAATAAAACATTTGTATACTTAGCTGCAGAGATATTTCACGTGCAACAGAGAACATTATCAGTTTGAAACTCCCCAAAAGCACGGTCTGAGAAACGGAAGTGCTGACTCTAAATCTGACCGTTTTACATTTTCACCGTAAACTTCTCTGGTTTGGGTTGAAAGTCACGGTCAGATGAAGCAAACAGAACCAAATTATTTGGAGGGACTGAAGAAACCAACCTGAGCTCCCCACTCCGGACACTCTTTGCAAGGCAATGTCTTGTTGAGCATGATTTTCAGCACCTATCGGTAGGCCAAACAATAAAGGTTTGCTCCCTTGATAGTTCAGTTGGTAGAATGAAGGACTGTATGAAAGGCTAAAATCCGCATTTGTTCCAAAGATCTAGGTTGTCGTGGCCGAGTGGTTAAGGCGATGGACTAGAAATCCATTGGGGTCTCCCCGCGCAGGTTCGAATCCTGCCGACAACGATACATGCTTTTGAGCAACGGGAACTCACCAATAAAATATTTGTATACTTATCTGCAGAGATATTTCACGTGCAACAGAGAACATTATCAGTTTGAAACTCCCCAAAAGCACGGTCTGAGAAACGGAAGTGCTGACTCTAAATCTGACCGTTTTACATTTTCACCGTAAACTTCTCTGGTTTGGGTTGAAAGTCATGGTCAGATGAAGCAAACAGAACCAAATTATTTGGAGGGACTGAAGAAACCAACCTGAGCTCCCCACTCCGGACACTCTTTGCAAGGCAATGTCTTGTTGAGCATGATTTTCAGCACCTATCGGTAGGCCAAACAATAAAGGTTTGCTCCCTTGATAGTTCAGTTGGTAGAATGAAGGACTGTATGAAAGGCTCAAATCCGCATTTGTTCCAAAGATCTAGGTTGTCGTGGCCGAGTGGTTAAGGCGATGGACTAGAAATCCATTGGGGTCTCCCCACGCAGGTTTGAATCCTGCCGACAACGATACATGCTTCTGAGCAACGGGAACTCACCAATAAAATATTTGTATACTTATCTGCAGAGATATTTCACGTGCAACAGAGAACATTATCAGTTTGAAACTCCCCAAAAGCACCGTCTGAGAAACGGAAGTGCTGACTCTAAATCTGACCGTTTTACATTTTCACCGTAAACTTCTCTGGTTTGGGTTGAAAGTCATGGTCAGATGAAGCAAACAGAACCACATTATTTTTAAAAATTACGAAAACAACATAATCGAAAAAAACTATTATTTTGCTTTGCTAGGTTGTGACAGTGCACTGCAACGCATTGGATCTAATTGATTTTTTGTCTAATTTATTTGTATTTATTATATCTATATATGTTTAGTAGCTTGAAATATGATATATTGACGCTCAAACATATTATTGCACACAATGATCTAATGTCAACCGCTGTCATTCTTACACAATCATAAACACTGTCGGAGCTCCCGCTAACTCCCCTCTCTTTTCAGGTGGAGCCGAGTACCCAACCAGCATCTGCCAGGCGACATTCCAATTAATACTGTACTGTGCAAATCATGCTAATAAAGTGCAAACTGTTCACTACTAAAGTGCCAAGTGACATTATTTGTGTGCAAACGGAAGTTGTTTTATAAAGTGCAACCCACATGTGCAATATTACAAGGCCCCAAAGCTGTCAGTCCATAGTAACGAAGATACCTTCGTTACATTTCCTCCTTCCTCTCGAAGGAGAACAGTACCTCACTCCTGCGACACTCTGGACAGAAAGTCTGCCACTATATTGGTCTTCCCTGACCTGTAGCAAACGGTGAAGTCATACGGCTGCAGTGACAGGTACCATCCGACCACTGTAGAGCTCTGTGATCTGTTTCCAAAACGAAGTGCCGCCCCAGCAGATAATATCTGA